TTCCACTTGAGCTATATTTTTCACAGTCCTTTTGAACTCTCTAATTTTTCGTTCAAATGGATAAATCCACCTGTATTATACTAGTACACATACACGTACTTCATACGCTAAGTGTATAGGCAAGTGTTTCATGGAGTCAAAGAAATCAGAGGGAAGTATTCTCTCTAAGTGTATAGGCACGTGCTTCAATTTTTGCTTTTCTTTATTTTCCTTGATTGCTTAAAAGTTCTTCTTTCAACTTATTCTTTTTTACAATTTTGATTTGATTAATATATACTTTAATAGGTTTGAAAGATGTTAACATAATGATACATTTATTCACAATTAGGTATATTGATGAATCCATATTTTTACTGATATTTTAGCATAATTCTAACACAATTAATAAGAAAAATATATGAAGAAAGCAGAAAAACTCAAAAAAAAAAAAGAGAAAGAATTGAAGTTTGTGTACATATGTAGTTATTTTAGCAATTGTAGAAATTTTGCTTAGAAATTAAGTTTTTAATCTTGTTTTTGAAGGAATAAATTGAGCAAGGATCATGGAAATGGAGGCTTGAAGACAAGGAAGAAGAAAGAAGCAAGTTTGGACTCCAAAAACACAGGACCAAGAAAGTGCAGAGTGGGCGTGATCACTATTATCAGTAAAAGTGATCACTCTAGAGTTCAAAAAAGAAGAAAGCCTGGGCGTTATCACTTTTATCAATAAAAGTGAGCGTTTCAGACAGCCTTCAACCTGGCGAGTTGCGCGTAATCACTTTTATTCATAAGAGTGATCACACGCAACCACTTGAGCTCTGCGTAATCACTTTTATCAGGAAGAGTGATAGTTCCAGAGAGCCATCAATATCAGGAAAGTTGCGCGTGGACACTTTTTCTCATAAAAGTGTTAACGTGCAACCATAAACCTTCTGTGTGGCTACTATTTCTCATAAAAGTGTAACGCGCAATTTTGGGAAATTCTATAAATAACAGAAACGTGCAGATTTTTCAGAGTTCAGTTTTATTTTTTCATTTTTCTGTTAGATCTCGTTGAGAGAGATTGAGAGAGAAGATTGGGGTCAAGTCTTGAAGCTTCCACAAAGAAGAATCAGATTGGAGCTTCCGGCCATGACTTCTTGGAGTTTTTCTTCTTCTCCTTCTTCTTTCTCTTTCTCTTCTCCCATGTCTGAGTAGTTTTCTTGTAGTTAGGGGTTTATGGAACTCGAATTGATGTATTAATTTGACTCTTGCTTCTGAATTTTGAGTTCTTAGATTAATTGAATTGTGAATTCTGTTTTTCTTGCAATCTATGAATGGAAATTCATTTGATTCATCTTAGAGGGACAATTACCAATGGAAGTTGGATTTGCTTCTCCGATCTGAGTTAGCAATCAGAATTTGGGGATTTCTTAGGGATAAGGAGACCTAATTTTGCAATCTTAAGGTTCTAAGTCTTAATGCAACTTGGAATTGAACTTCACCTAAGGGATTAGGGTGGTTTAGTTGCTTGTTAGGGTCAATGAGTTAAGGAATTAGCCTTTGGCTATTACTATGCGAAACTGATTGTTAATTAACCAAGTTCTTGAATGTTTAGAGGCATAATTGAATTAATACTGATATTCTTGTGAAGTAAATTCCTAACTATGCTTCATTCCTATCTCATTTCATTACATACTCTGTTTTTCTGCAAGTTCTTTGCTTTAATTGCTTTGGTTTACTGCTGTTATATGTTACAAATCTCATTCCAAAATTCGTATGGCTCAAATGGTTACAATTCTGTGAAGTGGTACTTGAAACCTAAATTCCCTGTGGAGACGATATTCTGATCTTAAATTTACTCATCACTTGCTGCAATCCTAGTGCACTTGCTAGTGTTAGATTGCGAACAACATATATTTATTTTACATACTCATTATGAGTCACCTTTCTTTTAAATTGTGATAGATGTTCAAGAAGTAAATGTCCAACATGCACAAGTGCAACATCAAAGAAAACCTTATATTTGTACTTTCTAATGGAAAATAAAATGAAAGTTTGTTTAGTCACCTTAAAATATCCATATTCATTAAGCCATTAATGTCTATATGGATTTGGATGTTTCTTTCTTGGTAGGTTAAATTTTTTAATCAATAAGTTGCTAGCAACATTAGTATAACTTCAACTATAAATAATCATATTTACATATCTTGTAATTGATCTGACACTTGGTATGAAAGATATAATCACATTACTTTTCATGACCATCTTTTATAGATTGTATGTGAAGAGCATGCTTAACAACAAGCATATTTTTATATAAATGTTCAACAACTTCAACGTTACTACAATCTTTCAATGGTGATATTTTATCATCACTTAAGCTCCACTTTCTATGTCTCTATTATCCAACATAATTAATACTCTTTTGTTTGATCTTTCTAAAGTAACATGTCCAATTCTTTGATACTTAAAACATTTGATATCACATGATGTCGAAGATGAATTAGTTTCAATTTTACCTTTAGGAGCAATAATGATATGTTTGGTCTTCATATTTCCTTATGATTTGAAACAACCTTATTTATATTATTATTTTACTTCCAAGAATAGTTTGAAGATGAAGACATTTTAGAAGAACTTTTAGACTTTAGTTGTTTCTTTACTTGAATTGCTTTATGCAATAAATCTTTTATCTCTACATAATGTTATTATTCTACTACACTAGTAATCTCATTTTTTAAACCTCTAATCAACCTTGTCATAATTGTCTAGTCTTCTTCTACATTGACTCTTATCATGACTATCTTGATCTCCTTATAGGTCATTCTCCACATTCATGGAATCTTGATTTAAGTTTTACAATTTTCAATGCGAATCTCTATGATAATGACTTGACACAAATCTTTTTCTTATGATAACCTTCATCTCTTCATATGAACAAATAGGTCTTTCACCCTTTTTTTGCTTGTTCATCACCCATCAATCCCACTAAATATTAGCAAAATTAGTAAATTGCAATAGTAACTAATTTTACCTTCTCCTCTTTTAAGTAATTTTGACTATCAAATACATGTTCAACATTTTCCTCCTATTCCAAGGATAATTTTGGATCATTCTTTCTTTGAAATGTAGGAACTATCATATTGATGTTACTTAAGTGATTGTCGCCTCTTTATTTATCTCTTCTTCTCCTCTTATTATTTCTTCTACCAAATTACTTGTGTTCCTTTTCTTCATGATTACTTCACCTTGAAGGAGTTCTAGACTTGGATGTAGATTTTAAATTATCTAACCTTGCATTTGAGGCTCAAAATTATTCTTGAACAAAATTTACCTATGTTTTAAGGTCAAACTATCTTCCTCAACTCATAGTGAAGTGCTACAAAAAAAATTAGTAAAAAAAATCTTCACTCACACTCAAATTAATATTATAATCACTCATGTTTTACTCAATATTTAACTGTTTACCCTGTAATAATCTTACAACTCTTACATTTTATCACTCAACTCCTCATGAGCTCTTAAATTTAAAACTTTTATTTTATGATTCGATACAACAAAGAAGGGTAAAAGTAAAAAAAAAAATTAGTCAATTAAAAATAACAAGAGATTAATAAATAAAGAAATGAACAAATAAAATAAAATAGAAAGAAGAATTTTAGTAGATAAGAAATAAACAAGATATAATAAAAATTAAAAAAATAAAATATGAATAAAAATCAAAAGAAGAAGTATAATTTTTTTAAGGACAAGTGCATTAATTTTTTTATATTTTTTTTGTGGTATATATATATATATGAGTATTTTTTTAATTTTTTTAAATAAGTTACACAAAAAAAATAAAATGTGTAAACACAAATAAATAAGAATTTAGTAAAGGATAATAGAGAATAATGAACACTTGATTTTAAAAATCTAAACTCTGATACCAAATGATATAAACATGACAAAAAAAAAATGAATTATGTTAAAAATAAGAAAATAATAAAAAGGATAAAAACTTGATTCTAACTATGACCTATCAACAACATAAAATCTATTAAATAATGTAATTTTAAGTGTAACTTATGGGTGGAACTAATATGATAAAATTTAATTCTTAGCTTAAAAATTAAAGAAAAGTTTTTATTGATAAAAGCTCAACTTATATTTAGATTTAACTTGTTCATTTTGATTCACATATTCTTATTTATAGAAATAAAAAAAACAAATTTTTATTCTAGAGTAATATAAAATAATATTTATCTTAATATTTAAATTTAAACATATTCTTAATTAACAGAAAATTTTAAAAATTATTTTTTATTTTTTATTAAACTAATTCTTTTATTTATATTTATATTTTGAGTTTTCATCTATTTAGACTTGAGTAAATAAGATCATAATTTTATTTATGGTTCCTTCTTGAACTTTATTTTACGGTTCCAAATTGCTTTTTTTTCACTCGGGTTCCATAACTAGTTTTTTCAAAGCTTGTTGCATTTAAGTTGGATTCCTAACAATGAATTTTTTAATTTTAATTTTTATGCAATAAAATATAATTTTTGTTACTAATAAAAAAATATCATACTATATTTCTTATTTATATGTAGTTTCACTTAATAATAATAATATTTTTATCTTTGATATATTTATATATTTTTTATTTAAATAAAATTTTGGTTTCTTACAAATTATGATTTAAGCGTAATATTTTGATGTATTATATTTATTAAGCCTGTTTTGTAAGAAAATATAGATTATCATCTAAGAATTATATAATAATAAAAAAAAAATAGCTATTAATATAACATGTATTTATTATAACCATTATATTATGTATGAAATTTTCATTTATTTTTATATATATTACAACATTTTCATTTAGTTCTTTTAAAATAAGGAATTAAATAAATATTTGTTACATTTAGAGAGATAAAATGAAAAATTGAAAACAAAAGAGAACGAAATTTTGACGTATGAAATAAGGGAATGAATTATTAATAATTTTCAGTAATACGCCAGACCTGACCAGATGGATGGATAAGGGAAAAAAAACAAAAAAGGAAAAATGATCAAAACGGGAAGAAGATCGTGTGGGCAGAAGGAAGACGCGTTGTTGTTGTTGTGGTTGCATGATGGAAGAAGAGAGCAGTTACCATGCCACAGCTGATTCTCACACGAGCGCCCGCATCAAGCTCAACGTAGGTGGAAAGCTCTTCGACACTACCATTTCAACCTTGCGCTCCGGCGGTCCAGACTCGCTTCTCTTCGCCCTCTCCAACCGCCGCTCCAACGACCCCAACCCGGTTTTCATAGACCGCGACCCCGAAATATTCTCTGTCCTCCTCTCTCTCCTCCGCACCAACCACCTTCCCTCCACGGCGCACCGCTTCACCAAACAAGAACTCGCCGACGAGGCTCTCTTCTACGGCATCGACTCCCACCTCCGCTCCGCCACCGCTCCACCATCGTTCTCCGGCATTGACGCTGCCGTCGTCGGCTCCGTCCGTCCGGCATCCGAAGGTCTCCCGTCCACCTTCTCCGCCGCCAACAACGGCGCCGTCTGGATCGCCCACGGCGGTCAGATCTCTAGCTACGACCACAACCTCATCCATGCCGGCACCATCCGCACGCATCTAGACGAGATCGACTCGATCTGCAGGGTATGGCCAGAGATCGCCGCTGTCGGATCGGAATCCGACGCTGGACTCCACTTCTACAACTTCTCCGGCAGTCGCCACGTCGGATCGATCCATTGGAGCGATCCTTCAGATCCTCGGATTTTCAAGGCGTGCGTCAACGCCGTAACCGCTTCGGAAAGTTTCGTGTACGCTTCGTTCGATTGCCCGCACAAGGAGAATTGCATCCTCCAGGTGGATAAGGAGAAGCTTCAGATCGTGTCGCAGTTTGCTCGGCAATCGGGGAACCAGGCGAAAAACATGGTTCCCGGGAAGCTGACGTGGATTCCGGAGACCGGAATTCTCCTCGGAAGCGCGGTGACTGGCGGGGCGTTTGGATACTCCGGTTATGTACGGTTGTGGGACTGGAGGTCCGGCGAAGTTGTTTGGGAGACGAACGAGCCTGGTTCAGGACGGAGTAGTAGGTTCGGGGATTCGTTTGCGGATGTGGATGCTGACGTGGAAGGGTTGTTATTATTCAAGCTGTGTTCTAAGTCTGGGGATTTGGCTATGGCTGATATGCGGTTTTTGAAGGATGATCCTTGGATTTATTTGAAGGAGAAGAATCCTAGCTTGGTGAGTTATAGTGGAGAGGGGAAACAGAGTTTGTTGCATTGTTATATGGGGCAAGTGTTTGTGGCTAGAGATGGAGAGTTAGAGGTCTGGTCAAGGGTGCATGAGGGGAAAAGTGAGCGCGTTGGTGTTGCAACTGAAAGTGATGCTGAATGGTTTTATAGGAGGAATTTTGTGGATAAGAGAGAGGATTCCGAGAGAGGAATTATAAAGAAGATTGAAGGTGGTGGGAATAGGTTGTTTGTTAGTAGAGAAGATATTGAAGGAATTCAAGTGTGGGAGAGCTCTCTTTCTTCTGGGGCCATTTCCGTTTTGTGAAACAGGAATGGGCAGAGCTTTACTTAGGTAGGGTTTTCTCCTTGAAAAACTATGGAATTGGTTGAAGCTCTGATTTTGTGTCTTCAACTTTCTTTCAGGAGAAAGATTGTCAGTGATACTTTTGTCATTTTTTCTTTATTAATTTCGCTATTTTTGCCTGTCATGATAATGTTGATCATCATTTAACATTTAGGGGCAAAGTGTATACATTATTCTTAATGCAAACTTTTTTCTTGATTTTACAATTAATGCTATATTGTAGTCTTTATTTTTTCCCTCGTGTTGTAAACCATGTCGATTTAATATATTATTATTATACTATTGTCAAATCCCTTTCTTCTAGAGAATGCTCCTTTTCTTCCATCCATAAACTTCCTTCCACTATGGCAATTTAGTTTAATTTTGTGATGCAAGCTTCAGATCAATATAGTTTGTCTTTTCTTTTTCTTTTTCTTTTGTTTTTGTCTGACATTGTGGTGTGCACGGTGTTGTTGAAGGTCCATTGGATGGAGATTTCCCAGAAGTGATAGAGGAGTACTTGGAACATGGCTGTATGAAATGTAATGCCTTCAATCGTTGTGGTACCCTTCTTGCTGGTAAGTGTTAACCTTTCTCGTTTGGTGTGGCGCTCTTTCTCTTTTGATGCACGCAATTTTATGCCGCAAAGTTTTTGTCTTTTGATTTTGTGTAGTCATGTTTGTGCTAATAATTTGGTTTTAGAAAATGGGGTGTGGTAAAAACTGATTTTTATGCTTTTATCGATTTTAATGTTGAAGTAGCAACCTTTAGTGACTAAATCCCTTTTTCCATGAAGACCCAGCTAAGAAAAGGGCGTTGTTTTTACATGGATTGTGTATATAGGGTGTTTCTGGCAGTTTTCAGTGTGGGGTTTATGTGGAATTTTAGGGTTCTAGCATGCTAAGTTTAAATTTTGAAAAAATTCTGATTTTTTATTTTACTTCGACGTTTTTCTTTCCTTTTGGGATAAGATTTCAAGAGAAAATATTACAAATGGATTTCTTTCTGATTTTTCTGGGTGCTTCGTTTCTTGAAGCATCAATTGTTTCCATGCCGTGTGCTATTTGTTCAAATTTGGGTTGGGTAAATATTGTAGCAACATATTGTTGAACTGTTATGAAATGTTTACTGGAGTCATTCTACGGTATCAATTTTCTCAGTTTTGCTCTTGATTTGCTCAACTGAATCAGCTAGGTGCAATGATGGAAATTGTGTTATTTGGGATTTTGAAACCAGGGGCATTGCTAAAATGCTTCTCGATGATGAGTGTTCTTCTCCCATAACCAGTATCTGTTAGACAAAGTATGGCGATCGAATTCTTGTATCTGCTGCTGATAAATCGTTGATATTGTGTGAAGTTATGAGTGGTAAGAAGATAACACATAGTTTTGCAACAAACCCCACTACAAGCTTGCCTTCATCCGTGATCCTCAACCCCAACTATCTGCTGAGCATGTCCTTTCTCGTGCTCCTATTATTCTCGTCACAATGAAACAAGAAGAAAAAAATTTATTTACTGACCAATTTGTACTATATATTGATTGTCTTTCACATCAATTCATGCACAAGAAAATCATTTAGAGTGACAGTTTTTTACTTATCTTCAATGGATATTAGATTAGTATGTAGACTACTGTTTAAGCCCAAAATAGATAATTTATTTAGCATATAAAAATTTTACTACCATGTTATAATTAATCTTTTAATTTTATTTTTAATGCAATAAAATATAAACTGTTATTAATAAGAAAGAAATACCATATTATATTCCTTTTTTATATATAGTTTCATTGTTGTTTGATAATAGTGATATTTTTATCTCATTTATGCTTAAATAAGATTAGAGTAAACTATTATTTTGGTCTTTATTATTTTTAAAATTCATTAAAATAGTTCTTAAATTAAATAAAATGTTATTTTAGTGTTTAATGAATACAATAATTAATTTTTTTTGTTTAATTATTTTAGTTTAATATTTATATATATAATTGTTAATTAGTTTAGTCTCTAATAACACTTAAACTTTAGTTGTTTTGACACTCTTTGATAAAAAAAAAATTGAGTTATATCACTTTCATTAATTGTCATGTATCATGGTTAGCTAATTCTTAACATGTTAAGTTAGCTTTTTTTTTTTTTAGAATAACTATTTTCTTTGGCTTTATTTATAAAAAATAAAAGATTAAATTATTAAGATTAAGAAAAATAATTAATTTAGTTATATTTTTATAACTATAAATTTTATTTTAAAATACTTATGATATTAAATAACGTAGTTGGCATAGTTATTGCTTTGTAAATATACATTTAAAAAAAAGTATAAATTTTTTTAATAATTAATACATCTTAAATATATTATATGTTTTTTATAATTAGGATTAAAAAAATATTTAATTTTATTTTTTATAAAAAAGATTAGAAAGAGTAATATTTAAGTAATGATATAAATTAAAATAATTGGTAATTGTATTCGATGATGATTAAAATGATATTTTGCTTGATTTAAAAGATTGCATACATTAGGGATCAATGTGACATTTTGCTTAATTTATGAACTATTTTGTTGAATCTTAGAAATAATAAAGACGGCAATGAAATGGTAGTTTATTCAATAAGATTTTAGGTTTTCAAAAATTTATGATTCTTTTTTATTTGGTACATTTTTTTATTTTTTTAAATCTAGTCCCTTAAATTATTTTTTATTTTTATTTGATTTCTCTACTAATAATTTATTAAGTTGTTTTATTATTTGTTTATATAACATCTGAGTTGATTAAGACTAACTTTCTGAAAATGAATTGCAGATATTACGTTATCATCCATAATAATTTTATGTGTACATGAGTTAAGTTCGATATTTCATATATAGATATTTAAAAAATAATAAATTATTAATACAGAAACTTATGAAAAAGAAAAATTATTTTTAGAGAACTTATTTAGAAAAAAAAAGAAAAATATAGATAAAATAAAAAAATTATAAATTTTTAGGAGACTAAAGGATCATATTTAAATATATATATATATATATATATATTTTATATTAATGCAAAAATAATCGTATAATACAATCATAACTTACAAGATAAAAATAAAATTTATGAGTTTAATATCTTGCAGTAAATAAGGTAGACAACTCATTAAAGTTTAAACTTTAAACTTATAATATATATGAGACATAGAATGCTGTATTATAATGTTTATATATTAAAATGTTTAATCCTTAAATAATTAAACTTGTACACATAATATTTTATTTAAAACAAAAACAAAAACCTCTCACACACTGCGTAGACTATTAACTAATTACCATAATAATTCTAAATTACATTATCAACTAACTAACTATATTAATTATTTAAAAAATAAACACGTTCAATTTAATACTTTATTTTAAAAATTTAAGATAATGTTAGAAAGACACCTGGAATGGAAGCTTCAGCAAGTTCTGTTAACCTTTCCCATGCACCAATATATGGTCAAAATCCACTGATATAGCAACCGATATTGAACTCGAGGAGCTCATGATCACATGCTTTACTTAAAATAACGTTAAAAAGCAAGCATGTAAGCTTCAAAAAGAGGTACCATTCAATATACACGGGGAAAGAACTACAAATTTCTACCAGTTGCCATCTTTGACCCTCAAACACCAATATAAGCATAACTTATTTATTTCAAAAGGTAAAGCATAATATAAGGTATAATTATGGATCCCCCCTGCATACTACATATGAAACCATACAAAGTCCACCAACAAAACCATTTTGATTTCTAAATCCATTCATACCATAATTAAATTCCAAAATTTGGACTACAACAGCACAAGCCCAAGTTCTGATGGCTTCAGTGCTTCCCTTAATCGGTAGTTGTAAAGATAATAGTGAAGTTTACCATCCCCTGGTCCAAACTTCAGATGCTTCAAGAAAGATTCATTCTGCATGACATCCAATGCATTAAAAACATCATAGTCCTTTTGTTTTGCCACAATAAGAGCATCATTCATCAGCTGAGGAAAAGGGGTCTTTGTTGACACATTATAAAAGGAATAAGCCGCTTTCAAAGTTGAATAACTTTGGTTGCCAAGGATAGTAGAAGGAAGTGTGTAAAAGCTGACAAAGTCAGTGATCTCAAGAGTTTCAAAACATTCAACCACAAAACTATCAACAACATTCTCCTCTGGAAGAAGCCAATGCCCCACATCATTTTCATCGAATTCAGGAGCAACAACAAACTGACTCAAGTGATTCCTAAGCAACCTAGTCACTGCAGGAACATCATGGATTTTCATCTTCCTAAACCCTGGGGTAACTATTGACTCTGGTAGCTTGTAAAGCCTTATTGTTCTGCTCATTGTCATTCTTGCCCCAAGCCTAGAGAAACCAACATCAATTAGTTTCTTAGGATTTAAAGACCTATGCCAATATTGGCAAGTTGCTATTGGAGTAGGAAGAACCACTCCTGCAGTATATGCTGCCTGCCACATATTCTCCAAGTGCACCCTCCTTGTCACTTCTTTGATCATCACTGGGGCAAGCCTCTTTGATCTAAGCTTCTTATGAACACATAAAAAATTAACCTCTGCCATGTTAACAACCTCATCTCGAACTCGGATTCTAACCGGAATGCCTGTTATGAAGGCAACCAACTTCTTGGAACTCTTAACACAAACACCAATGTGCCAACTTCTAAAATAACCAGGAGGCTGCAAAGCCCACCTTAGAAATTCTTTTGAGTAGTTAAATCTGAACATGTTCTCATTATCCTCAACATAGTTATTTGCAAGAAGGGTATAAACCTCATTGCACATCTCTTCAGAGTTGATGTCACAAGTGACCCATTCATAGAGGTGAGGAAGGCTGTAAGGTTCTTGTTGGATCTCCGATAAAGGGGTTAGAGGTTCAATAGGGCCTTCTGGCAAACTTGGGTCTCCAACATCTTTGTATTGCCCCACTGGTTGTGTTTCCCAAAATCTATGCCTTTTTTCAAGAGGGAGAGATTCTTGACCATTTTGAGCTAGCTCAAGATCAATTTCAGAAGGTGCATTCCCATCTGGGATGGGATTTTTAGTTTCTTCTGGGGATCCATAAGAATCATTGCTATCAACCATTTGAAAAGTTTCCCCTGAAAGACAACATATCTGCTTTATCAATAAATATATTTGATGGAAGCAGAAGTACACACTATTTAAGACATACTCTTGAGCACACTTAACACACTTGCCTCATAAGTTGATCAATTTTGAAAAATCACTTAGATACATACTATTTTAAAAAACTTACCAATTATAATAAGTGTATTAAAGAGTAGTTGATGGCATTCTTCTTGATGTAAAAGGTACAGTTTTTCCATTGACCTGCTGCTAAAATTTTAGAACTATGTCTCTTAGGAGGAAAAGTAAAAAAAGAAAACTAACCCATATGTCTGAGATAACAATATTTGAGGTGTTGAAATTTCAATCCAAACCAGACCTTCCCTTTAATTCTTATTATAGTCACAAAAAAAAAATCATTTAAAAGAATAATAGCCAAACTATTATATAAGTTTTGATCTCTATAAACTATAGAAAATTTCCTTCAAGTGCTCAATATTACCAAAAAAAAAAAAAAAAAAAAACTGTACCGAAGGTGTACCATTAATATTATAATATCACTATTATACAATTCCATTTACTTTTGAACCAACAGAAAATAAGAAAAATAAAGGTTCTTTAAACCAAAAAAGAGATTTACCTCGGATTGCAGTTCTAAAGAAGCTGAACAATATAAACTAAAGCTCGGGTTTGTTGAAGAAGAGGTGTTAAGAGTTTAGAAGCAAGGCAATGGAGGAATCTAAGCTTTGGAAGAATATTAAAAGGGGTCTCCTTACATGTTAGTGCAAGAGGAATCTAAGCTTTCTTTTTATTAATTGATTCTTAAGTGTTTAATTCCAATATTTTTAAATATATGTAGCTAAATTTCCAAAAATATTATTTCAGAAATACCATTATTAAAAATTTATTTTTAAATAAATTAAAGTTCATGTATTTTAATATTTACGAAAATGTTTCATAAGTAAGAATGGAATTTGTTGAGTTACAATACAAGACATGGGACACTAGCTCATCCCCATCACTTATATAACAGCATTTAATAATTCATGACGATATAAATTAGTGTCTTGTTATTGACTTTAGGATGTTTGGTGAGAAATCAAAAATTAAAAAGTCTGTGAATAATTTTGAAATTATAGTGAGATTGTTTTAATGAAAAAAATTATTTTTAATTTCTTAACTACAGATTAACATTTACCTAAAATATTCACTCCTTATTGTGAGAATGCAAACTGCATAAAATAAGAAAACGATACATTTTTAAAAAAAAAAAATCAACTAAACTTAGGAATTTGTTTAGAAAAATGTAACATATTTGGGAATGATATATTTACCGGTACATGAATAATTTTGCCCAACTTGAAACAATTAGGCTCTTTATTCCTGACACCGTGACACGTTTTCGCAATATTCTTTCGGTTGCTATCTGAAACGACCTTTGCCGCCAAACACTACCTTCACACCTTACGGTAATCCATTCTCTCACTTTAATTTTTGATCTGACGCTATTGATAATTTATATTTAAATTATTTAATTTTTTAAAATAATAATTTATATCATAAATTTAACAAAAAAAATTGTAATCGATGTTTACTTGTGGTGCCGTTGATGCCTTGTGACTTGTGAGGACTTTGGGGATTTAACGAACTTACCTACCATCTGTTTGATGAAATGCCTGAACTAATGTGATAGTGTAAATCATGATTACCATTTTTTTTTCCTTTGTGTATGACTCACTGTTACATGCAAGGACGTTTTCTAAATGGCTTCTAATGTTTTCAAGCTAGTATTTTACCCTGATGTGTTTCCTACAATTTTCTATTATGCATACTTCAAGTAATTTCAAACATGAAATTGAATGAAGTGTGTGAAGTTTTATTCCTTTCCCATTTCAAATGAGTTTGTTTAAATTTATCTTTATACATTAATTGTTAAATTTGGCTGTCTAGTTATAAAATAAAGATTGTTTTCAGTTGATATACTGTTCTGTTGATTGTTGCTCCATTCATTGCAGGCACGAGCTTCTTGGAGGTTTCTCTCTTCTCATAAACACTTGACACTTAGAAGGTATATTTATAAATGATAAATCTGATCTGGATTAATCACTGCAATGCCATCAACGGTGATTTAAACCATTATGGAGACTAGGAAAAAATTGTCGTTTCTGCTTCGAAGTTGTGTGGCACATTCTGTTGCCTTGCAATGCCATGCCCAAAGTATTGTCCAAGGTTTGCTTCCCAACACCACACTTGAAACTGACCTCTTGCTAGCGTACTCTAAATTGGGCTTTCTTTGTGATTCTCGCAAAATGTTTGATAAAATGCTTGACAGAAAAAACAAGTATTCATGGAACATCATGATTGCCTCCTATGCCCAGAGATGCGTGTATTTTGATGCCTTAACAATTTTTCGAGAGTTCAAATGCTACGGCCTCAGGCCAGATCATTATACCTTGCCCCCATTGTTCAAGGTTTCTATAGGAGTAGACGATGATTGCATTGGAAATATGTGTCATGGTTTGGTGATAAGGCTTGGGTATGAAGGATATGTTGTTGTGGCAAATTCTATGCTTGAGTTTTATGTTAAATTTGGGGCATTGCCTCAGGCGTGTTGTGTGTTTTCTAGCATGTTATGTAAGGATTCTGTTTCATGGAATTTGATGATATCGGGGTATGGTAGGGCCAGCTTGTATTCGGATGCTATGTGTTGTTTCAGGGAAATGTCAAGTTTGAATGGGATGATGCGGGTGGATTTCATGACTCTTCCTAGCATTTTGAATGCTTGTGGAAATAAAGGAGACTTGTTGAAAGTGAGAGAAGTTCATGGGTATGTAGTGAGAAGTTTTGGTTTTGATGCAGATTCTGCTATTGGGAATGCATTGATCGATATGTATGGCAAATGTGGATGCTTGAATGATTCAGAAAAGGTTTTCAGGACCATGCACTACATGAATCTGGTCACATGGACCACCATGATATCTTGTTATGGGGTACATGGAATGGGGGAGGAATCTCTTTTGCTGTTTAAGAAGATGGTAGATAAAGGGCTTAAGCCGAGCCCGGTCACACTCACAGCAATCTTGGCCAGTTGCAGCCACTCAGGTCTGATAGATCAAGGCAAGCACATTTTCAGCTCAATTCGTTCACACTACGGATTTGAGCCTACTGTTGAGCATTATGCTTGTATGGTGGACCTTTTGAGCCGCTGTGGGTATCTTGCGGAAGCACTTCAATTGTTGGAAAGCATGAAATCATCAGCAACAGGAAGCATGTGGGGTGCCCTTCTTGCTGGTTGTGTAACGCACAAGAATGTTGAAGTTGGAGAAATTGCAGCTCATCGGCTATTCCAATTAGAACCAAATAATGCTAGCAACTATATAGCTTTGTGTGGTATTTATCAATCTCATGGCATGCTCAATGGTCTCTCAACTGTTAGAGCAAAAATGAGAGATTTGGGTTTGGTTAAAAGTGCCGGTTGTAGCTGGATCAATATTGCTGGAAGAACTCATAAGTTCTATCAAGGGGACCTATCTCATCCACTAGCTCGGATGATTTGCAAAATAATATATCAAATTAGCAATACTCGATTGTTGACTAATGATTTGATAGTATCAAATATGCTACATGATGATCATGCCTTCATCGTGGGTTTGTAGAGCATTAGAGGCAGTTCACCTGTTTAGGGCCAAGAAAGGCTCAGCATAAGAGTCATGTTCCAAAAATTTAAGTCACCTCCTTTAAAGGAAATGACCCACACAAGTATAAGTTTTGGATTATATGACCAGTAGTAGCACCGCATCAACCTCATTCACCTTCAAATCTTACTATTTGGTAATAGCTTGAACACTCAAATGGCCTACCATCTGTTGCTTTGCTCTGATACACCAAATCAAGGCTACAACTTCAAAGTGGACCAATTCCATAATAAAACAGCCTAAGAAAGCAATCTCGGAGAACAAGTCTAACATGAATAGAAAAGTGAAAAAACAATCAAGGGTATTTGGAACTTCCTTTTGTTATCGCTGCTGTTTTGCTGAGTTTCTGAATGCATGTGCTTATAAAACATTTGTTTTTGCCTTCTCTAGTCATGGTAGGCCTGGACCCAGAAGGAACACGATGCATAGTTGTTCTGTTGTTGTACCTCGGACGATGGCTGGTACTATTTTGAGGTCGTACCTCACGGTGGTCGCTAGATTGTTCTGATGCGACAGAGGGTGTTCTTGCATCAAGAAACACTCTAAGTGAGTAATAATTTTGACTAGGATTTTGTACAAGTAGAATTTCATATCCAAGAGGGTTTGTCCCCTGCTATTTATAGGAGTAAGTATATTTTGACTAGGGGGTATTACCATTTCAGTGACATCATGCTATTAGGTGATGTTAGGGAGCATGGCAAGAGCCTACTAGAATCAAACTGAATTGGAATGTGCCATGCCTGATCCACAGGGTTAGGTGTCCTTCCCTGGACCAAGTGACTACTAGTTAGTGATCTGTGCCCACTATAAAATCTTATACAAAGTCAATACATGATGAACATAGTATAAAACGTCAATGTATCTAGAAAAATATGGTGTGAATTTTGTAAAACAAAAATAGGTACATATAGTTCAATTATTATTTTTTTTATCACTACTTTATTTGATGCAAAAGGCCTACATAAGAATAAACTTAGAACTAGATTACATTTTTGTAAAACAATAAATGTTTTAAAAATATTAGAGACTCCCTTATTTTTATCCCGACTTCATTCATATTGTTGTTAATCAAATATTGTATCTTTCATTTGTCCATTTAAACCAATTATGCATCTCGTTAGACAAAATTATATCCTAAATATTTCAGCATTCATGTAAAGCTGCAAGAGAAACCAAATAATGCTGTAGTAAAAACCTGCATGGGAATCAAATTTACAGGTGAAATCAAAACAAATATTGTTTAGGACATGGTATGCACACTGTTTATACCATATATCCAATTCTGCATTACAAGTGTGCTACTTGAGTGTTAAACATGTTTATTCTATTAAATCTTGTTTTGTCAGGACTAAGTGGGGATGGTCTTGTGGTACAAACCGCGGTGAGTGGGTTTGATACGCATCATGTATGTAGTTTGAATTTGATCAATTTAGGGAATGACAAAGTTATTCCAACATTCAATTGCTTTGATTTTTAAATTAGTTTTTCAATTTTTATTTTATTAAAAATGATAAATACCTTTGTTGTTGGAAATTTAAATATATTTTAAAATACACAATAAATATAATATAATAATGCAATGAAAGAAAATAAATATTCATCTAAATTGTCAATTATTCCTTCATACATGTCGATTGTCATGAGTATAAAATTATGTTGTAATGTAGTTAAAAATATATATATATTTTTTTGTATTTTGTTCCTTTTACCATTTTTTGTCTAACTTTTAAGATTTAGACCTAAAAAGTTAACAATCTAAACAAATTCTTTTAATTTTAAAAATAGAATAATTTAATTGGCATGAAGAATTGAAATATCAAAATTACATTGAGTTTAAATTAGAAGGATTAAAAGTATGTTTGGAATAATTTAAAAAGTTACTATTTAAAAAAGATAAAATTACTCTTTTCATTCTTTAATTCTAAGTTAAAATTAATTTTTGTTCTTTAACTTTTTATTAGTTCATTTTAGTCTTTTAACTTATAAAAAAAATTTAAATATGTTCTTTTTCATTAAAGACCCTAACTCCTAATTTTGTTAGAAAGTTTTATTATTTTGTGCCACATGTACTATGTGTTAATGTTCATCGTCTTCTTCCTCAGATCTTTGATCTAGTTTTTGATAGTTTTTCTTCTTCTTTCTCCGTTTCATCTTCATTTTCTTACACTCAAAACTTCATCTTTTTACCACTAACACCAAGCATCTACCCTCAAATTCCAAATCATAAATAACCTAACTTTTTAATACTCATTTTTCATTTCCAATATATTTGAACACAAATTCTCATTTTTCATTTTATTAATTTTTCATGCTACCTTGACCTTCCAAGCCTTCATTAACAAAAATATTGTGTTCTAGAAGCTTAAAATATAATATGAAAATAAACATAGACCGCCAAAGATAGAAAATGAGTATTTAGAAATTTAATTTGTTTATGGTTTGAGATTTGGGAGTGAGTACTTGGTGCTAATGATAAGAAGATAGAATTTTGAGTATAAAAATATGAAGATGAAAGAGAAAAGAAAGAAGAAAAATTGTTTAAAATAAGATCGAAGATCTGAGAAAAAAGACGATGAATAATAACATATAGTACTCGTAGCACAAAATGACAAAACTTTCTAACAGAGTCAAAGTTTTCAACAAAAAAATGACAAAACTTTTTAATAGAGTCAAAGTCTTCAACGAAAAAAGACCTGTTTAAATTTTTTTTTAAAAGTTAGAGGACTAAAATAAACTAAAAAAAGTTAAAAGACGAAAGTAAATTTTACTCTAAAGTTAAGGGACGAAAAGAGTAATTTTTTTTTAAAAAAATTAATAAATATTATAAATAAATTAAATAAAACCCCACTAAAAATACAATTGAGAGTAAAAAAAATTGCATTAATTTTGTATCCTAAACATGGCCATCACTGCATAATATAACAACAAAGTCATTTATATCGAAATTAAATGGCGTAATTTTTCCATCTAATCTTTCTAAAATAAAAAAATATTTTAAATAAAAAAATAGAAGATATTATTTTATAATATTTTTAAAAAAATTTGTTGGTTTTGACTCTATCTAAGTATTTTTATATTTTCAAATTTTATGAAAAGCAAAGTTTTTATCTATGGTTTCTAAAGCGATTTTTATTCAATTTCATCCGATGAGTATTGATATTTATATTTTACAAACTAAATTAATGCATTTATTTGTGTGTGAGAAATTAATAAAATTCATAATCTCAACGTTACCTGCCTTATGAAATTGGGTCAAAAGTTTATAGTCTTAAACTCTTCAAGTGAAAAATAGGTTTAAGATTGAAAATTCATTAATATTGCGCAAAAATAGAAAAAAGATATCTAATTACAAGTGTATGGAATGGATATCAAGGATGAGATATTTGCTTAACTCTGGACAAATAGCTAGGTTTGTGGAATTGGAAATCTTAACCTTCATGTTGTATGTTTTTTGCATATATAATTTATGATCTTCTAGTAGGTTTATTTGCATTCTCAAAGGGGTGAAATTGGAATAAAATTAAACTTGTTCTACCTCCTCGTATTTGTATACGTATAGGTACTTTTATCCCCCGAATTATGGGGCTGTAAGTTATGCTATTGTGTGGCCTTTTAACTATTTTCTATTAAATTTGCCTATACTATGCCATACAAAGACCAATGCTCTGTTAGTCAAGCGTTTGACTGTTTTAAATTGACGTAAAATTGGCTTAGACCTCCAAAAATTAAATTACTCTTATGAATCGCTCATGATAAATTATTAACAAATGAAAAATAACAACATTGAGGTATATTTGATTTTGATATATGACCTAGGTGTCATTTTGCAACCAGAATCCATCATGCATGTATTAAATGATTTTTTTTATGCATTTGAAGTCTAGGACTATTTAATTTCTCAAGTAGTCTAAGTAATTGAATTAAGTTTAATATGGTTTCTTAACATGATTAATAATCATAATGATTGGAATTTTATTTTTGGCATAACAATTTGAAAAACTTGATCTGCGATTTTATGTTAGTTGAAATTAAATGTCGATGATTTTATATTAGCTAGAAAGAGTACAACAACCTGTGGGGGTCTCCTTAGTGGAATGACAAGCAATTTTGTATAAAGTGAGATTATGTTCTATTGATACTTAACTTTAGACCATTTTTCTTGGTTTACAATTAATTATGACTAGATTTTTTAAATGTTAATTTGGAAGTTAATTCTAGAAAGGCTCTTTAGATAATTTTAGCTAAACAAATATATGATTAATGTTTTTATTTCATTTAGTTTTTATTATTGTTATTATTAGTAATAATAATAATAATAATAATAATAATTTATCAAGCATTGAAAATATAATAATAAAAAAAGAGTAAAATACGACATTAAGTTGATGGTATAAAAAAGTCGCTGCAGGTAAGAAAATGAGATTAGTGAAGAAGAAGAAACGTGAAACATCTCAGCAGGCGATGGAAGAAGATTTTGATTTCGAGAAGAAGGTTTCGATTAAAGAAACAATGGAGATTGATCCAAAAAAAATCATTGTTTTGCTTCGTGGTTTCCTTCAAATTCAGCAACGAAGGGCCGAAGCATATTCCAAGCTCAAAAGGTTAATTAGTTTCGTGCACAAGGCTTGGTTTGGATTTCGCTAAAATAAATGTTTTTTTTTTCTTTATGATTGTATCTCTTTTGCACGAGTTATTTCAATCCACGGCTTTCATCAATATCAGTGATATCGATACTTTAGGGTTCACATGTGAGCTTCACGCAAATAAAAAGAAAGTGATATTGACACAGGGAAGTGAACCCAAATTTTTTTTTAATTTTATTTTATGTTATTTGAAAAGGATTCCATAATATGTAATTGATGTCCACAAATATTAGTAAATTTCACAAATCCTAGATATTCAATTTTTTTTATAATTTTTTTATGTGGAAATTAATTTTTCTTTGGCTTTGTGATGCATATATGTGAAGGAATGATGCTAGACATGCGCCTTTTCTTCTATCATGAAAATTCATACCACAGCGTGTCAATGTTACTTTTTTCCACTAATTGTTTAATACATTGGAAAGTGTCACTGTAGTGTTTCCTAATTTGACGCTTTGGTATGATATCTAACTTGGCAGGGGGTTTTCTGACTACATGGCTTCTGGGGGAGAATTGGCTTATAAGCAGCTTTGCAGTGAAATCACAATAGAGTTTAATGATTGCTCGAAAAAAGTTTGACGCATGATCCCCAAACATTATTGTTTTTTAAAATAAAAATGGCCTTTTGTTTAATTTTACTGTATTTGTTTAACTTTTCCCCCCTTTTTCTGATTTAGCATAGGTCCTTGAAATGGAGTCACTATTCCGGGGCCCTGATTACTGTCGAGTCGATCTAGCACAACTCCTTAGAGCTGTTCAAGATCAAGAAAAGCAGAAACTGCATCTGGTATGTATCTGTTTTAGTTTAAGAATAGGAAAGTTCCTCTACTGAAAACAAATTTCAGTGTTTGTATTGATTCAGGAAACTTGTATTCCTTTTTTATGGATTTGTCTTCTTGTACTGTGCTTTTTATGCCTTCTCTCTTGGTGACGTTGATGATGAGACTAAAACAAGCAACCATATATATTTTGAATTTGTTTATGTGTATTATCTGGATATCATGTGAAAATTCTTGTCAATTGTCTATCCAGCTTTTATTCAACCGTTATTACTTGTTGAAGCGTTTCATTAAGGTTGTGAGCACAGAAATCCTGTCTAATTCACTACAAGTAGTGACATAATCAGTTCATCTTGTAGGAATGCTGAACCTTTGTGTTCAAGTTTCATGCCCTCAAGGATGTGGCATGTGCCTTTAACCCCAAAGTTGCTCAACCAGTTAGGCCTCTCTTCAGTAACTTAAATGGTTAGTTCATCGTAGGATTCTTTTCTTTCCCTTTTCCTTTTTTGGGACCTGCAAAGCATGAGCTTCAAACTACCTGTTTCAGTGACCAAAAAACAGAAGTTTATGCACTCAGTAGCACTCTTGGTTGGACTAGGCTAGTTTCTTCAACCTGATAATACCTGCCGTGATGCACATTCAGACAACACCTCTTTAAGTGAGTCTACTTTAGTGTGGTCGCCTGGAACATGCTACTGCATGTATATTTAAACCCTGCTAGTTTTACCCAAAAACAAAACGAATGTAAACCCTGAAAGGTCTAGTCAATATTTAGACATTTATAAGAATGACTTGAAGTTTCTTAAGTTGCTCATACTCAAGTTTTATCTTTTAAGTTTTCTATGTTGGACTAATTCGACTCAACACAGTTTTTTACAGATGTATATTCAATCACTCTATAACCTATAAGGTAAAAATAACTACTTTGTTCAATGGAATGATTTTTTTTACTTTTTCCTCTCTTTCCCTGGTGATGTTGCTTGCAGTTTGTTTAATCTTAAAAATTTTGATTAGATCATCTGATATCAACTAGTTATTCTGCTTGCACGACATTGTGTTCGTGAGTAGAACTCCTTATTATTTTACATTGCACTATTTTGCTTCTTGTAACCCATGTAATTGTCGTTCATTCAAATGTTTAGTCTTTGCTGACAATTACTATACTTTAAAAGACAGCTACAATTCAGGTGTTAAAGAAAGCTGGTCGCCCATCTGAACGTTTGGTGAGCCATGAGAATTGCAAATATACAAAGCCAACAGAGCACGAGTGTGTTCATGTTCAGGAGATTACTGAAGAGGCAGAAGCGGATGCTGAGTATGACAATGCTCTAAAGGAAGCTATTCGAGGTGTCCAAGATGCTGTCATAGCCATAAATGAACATCTAGAAGAAGTCAGATATGAAATTGCTGCCCTTGAAGCAGAGTGATTCTTGGCCAGGGCTGTTACTAAAATATTACTGATTGCATTCTCATTCAAACATGTAATCATTTGCCTGTGAATGGATAGGTTCAGACGCTCAGTGCTAACAAATATTGTTATTGGTCTACAACTTGTGAAATGTATATAGACACCCTAAAGTGCAGCTCATGAATTTTGTTCAGTCATCAACAAATTATATTAAACCGGTAAAAGAAATTCAAGATTACTTAACATCTGTTAAGAACTCTGGTACTTGATGAAAATGCCTGGCCATTTATCTGATTAGGAGTTCGGGTTCTGACTTCTGAAGTTTTGGTGGAGCCAACTACTTAGCCTGTTTTGCTTTATAAGTTAACTATGCAGTGTTGCACCGTGTAAAATCAATTTTGTACAATACAAATGGTAATTTTAGATTCATGGGGAACGAAATCAAATTTGTAATTGATCATAGTATAAGGTCAATTTTTTTAGCGTTTTCGTTAATGAAGTATAAGTGAAATTTAGAATTGATTTTAAGAGTGAGGTTTATAAATTTTATATTTTATTTACATTTTAAGAGTAGTTTTACTTTATCTATTAAATATATTTTTTCTTAACTCTCTTTAAATATATCAGAAATGAATACATGAATATTTTTAAAAATTATGTAAAAAGTTTCCTTTTCCCAAAAAAAAAACAAAAAAATAAATACAAAGTAGAAAACTCATATCTTTAGCATATATCCTTTTTGCTGTCACTTTCCCCGGTAAAATAATTGGGAAATTTAAAATATAAAGTATATGAATAATATCTTTTTAAATTGTTTATTGTGAAAATTCATTTAAAATTATAAGAGTCTCCATGCTAACTTTTCTATTCTAAGAGGTTAAATAGTTGCTTGAAGGTATCCTATGTGCAGATATTTGTAGTGTTTTGCATGGTTGACTAGGATCCTTTAGATAGTAGATGGAATTCCTCAACTTCATCCGCAAGAAATGAAATATTGTTTTCAATTGTTTTGAAAATACAATTAAAACTATTTAAATGTTTGCTGTCCTCAAGTTTGATAAACTTTATGTTTTAGAATTTTAAGAATTTTTCAATTATCAAAAGTTTGATTAATATCTTCAAAAAAAATTCTTTATTGAAAATGGTATGTTTTGGTGTTATTTCTTGTTAAATGAGCTCTGATTAACGAGAAAGTAATGGTAAAGATGAAGAAAATAACTTAAAAGTAAATCAGAAAAAAGTTTGCAAAATTTTAGACATACTCATTTAATTCTCTAATATCTTTACTCTTGTTTGATTTCATAGATAAATTTTGTTAACATGAATTATTGCTTATCTATTGAATATTTTTCTAAGGCTTCGTCAATGTAGTTATGATCATAGCCACCAATTACTTCCCCTTCTATCTTTTTTCAAAAGCATCATCAAATTAGACTTATTGCTTTTCTTGAACTTACTGTTACAACTTTGATTAAGGGGTAGATCTAGATTTTTGTGAAATAAAGAGTTGAAAATTAAAAGAAGGATGGATGAATTTGTTTTTAAAAGATCTTTTTGAACTTTTCAAAAACAACTCTTTTAGAGCATGTAAAAGAGAAAAGTTAGAAAGATGAATACATAAAATTTATACTAGTTCACCTATAAAATAAGGGGTTACATTTAGTTTTTGACTTCCACTAAGATTTTTACTATATCATAGTTTTACATACAAATATCTCACCACTCAAATATTCTTGCACAAGCTTTTTTAGTCTCAAATAACTCTCAAGTATTTTTTTTTATAAATTACATTGTCAGGGTAAACAATCACTCTCCAAATATTATCAACCATCATTTCTATACAAGAATGAAAAAAGTATATGCATATAAAGAAAGTTGAATAAATGATTTTGCTTTTATTAAATATACTTACTTTTTTTTGCATGAAAGTGTCTTCAATATATAGTAAATTTATCTAAAGTTTATGTTAGACATTATCATATATCCACTACACTTAACAAACTTATCCGTTACAATATTTTAAATGTGTGAAAACCTTTCTAAGTTTAGAATACTTCATTTTCCTTGCCTTTTTGTCTTTTTCCCATTTTGGTGTAAGGCACGTGGATGAGGAAAACAAATCATGCTTTTGTTTTAATAAATAAATATAACATTGTTCTTCTTTAAGAAAATCTTGAGTACAATCAATTTTTCATGTTTTAGTGCATTATTAATTTTAAATTATGATTGCATTTTAAATTGCCTCACAAACGATGTAAACTGCATGAGTAATTTGATCTTTCATAATCTTACAGAGCTACTTAAATAATTGAATAAATAAATTAATGATACCACATAGTTCAGCTTAATTAAAATAATAATAATTCATTTTACAAAGAGGAAGATTTTGAAGAAAAAAAGTTTATTCAAGATATAGAACTTACAAAGAAGTATCTCAAGTCTCTTATCTCTCTCACTCTCTTTTCATGGATAGTACATAGAAAGATGTCTCACAATGTGGTTGATACTCTTTTTATTGACACATTTTAATATTTTTATAGTTCAAGTTACATGATTGAAATTGTAGCTATTGTTTTTATAATCATCCTCATCATGGTAAAAGACATTTATAAATACTTCTCATGATAAGGAACTAGGCAATTTTTTCTAAAAAGATTTTTTCTCTTCTTCTAGAATTAATTTAAAAGTGTCTTAAATTTATTTATTTTTGCAAAACTTTCATTTGATCTAGAGGCCACTAATGTTGTAGTTATTTTGTGTTTCTGGTTAATGAATTTACAAATTTCTAAATCCATTACTTTCAGTTATTTTAGACTATTTTAAATCATATCTTGGTCAATATTTACTTTTGAATTGTCAAATTCTAACCACTACTTCGACATATGCATTATGTTGGAAACAAGCATAATTTTGTCATTTTTAACATTATATATTGTTACGAGAATAACCATGCCAAGTAGAAGATTGAGAAAATTCTTAAATTTGTTTGTATCTTACAACTTTGTTTTTATATATTTGATTAAAGGTCTGAATGAAATATTTCAAGTACCTCTATCAGAAGAAAGTTGTGGATTAGTTCTTAAAAGTCCTACCATTGGAGGAATCAAAAAGAAAATTGGTACCTCAATTTTCTTTTTTAAAATAAATTAACTACAAATGATTAGTTATATTTATTTTGGAGCCAAAACATGTTAGTATTGGCTTGCATATAATCTCAATAATTGTATTTCAAAGGGTTAAAATTTTGAATTTTTTTCATATTATTGAGATTATTTGCATATTGTATTGGTGATAAATTTTTTAATATTTGAATGATTCAATATGTAATAATTGAATGATCTCTTGGTTCCTTATAATATTTAATGGAGACTAAATACAAGTTTACTAGTATAAGGTAATAATTGTCTTGTCTTAATTTTTATTTTTATTTTTAAAGATTGACATTGAAATCTTTCAATATGCTGAAATAATTTACTTGCTTTTACTTCTTATTTTATCCCAAAATTATGCTTCCATCTAGATTACTATTAAGAACTTATTTTGGCCTAGGGAGATGTCTATGTTTTGGATAAGATTAGATGCCAAAACATTTTGCTTTTGTTTTGGGTCATTGACAATTATTTGTTTTTCTACTAAGTTATCGATGAGGGTAGCTAATGTGAGTTTTTCTTCCTCTTCTTTAAAGTTGATTTTCATGTATGATTTTTTTAAGAAATGTATTAGGCTTTGGTTTTGTTAGACTAATAGGGTGGCTACGGGAAAGGCATATTTGACTTTGGTTTGCTCCACGATAATTTGGATCAAATGTTCTTGTTAGTTTTAGTGATAAGGTATAGTTATGGTAAAATGGATTTGATTCGACAAGTCAACGTGCCTAACCTCTTATCATGGGAAGAGTTAGTTGTACTCCTATATTTGCTAACCCATGCGTTTTATCCTGTCAAACTTAATTATGTAAAAGAGGTGGGGTGGGTCGAGTCAGATCATATTCATTTACAACTTAACTAGTCGTCTATGTTTGTAGCTTTGTTTGTAACTTTGTAGTGTCCTTTTTTTATCTTCAACTCTCAATATATCGTATGCGACTTCATTTAGGTATGTGTCACTCTCTATTGTTTACATTTCCTCTATTTTGTTATCTATATTTATCATTTTTTTTTGCTTCATTTATTTATTTAATTTTTGGGCTTCATTATTTGTTCTAATTTTTTTTTGTTAATGTATCATTTTTTCTTTAATTCAACTACAAATGTCAATGACATATGCGTATAGTTGTGTCTTGCTGCTAATGATTCAACTTGACATGTCTATGGTCGCCATATTTAAGCATTGTTGCTTCTTTGTTAATGTTTAATTTAATGTAACAAATACATTCTTAATTTTTGAGAGAAATATTGATGATCATGTAATTGAATTTTTTCTTTTTATTTTAATTTTTTTTGTTTTTGTAGTAGCTTTATTTTATTTCTTATTTGAGTTAATATGAAATTAGTTAATGATCCAAACACTATTAATGTGAAAAGTAAAGGTATAACAATAAAATATAGATCTCGTGATCCTAAAAAGAAAAGATCTAAATCAACAACTTTAGATTGTTAGAAATTTTTTACGAAGATAAGGGGTGATGATGGTATTAAGAGGACAATATGTAATGACTATAAGAATAAGTACAAAGAAAGTAGTAAATTATATGGGTTGTCTTTTCTAAATCTTCACATCCTTAAATGCAAATGAATTATATTTGAAGATATTGGTCAAATGATACTAACTTAAAAAAAATTGAAGTCTCAAAAAAGTAAAATCACATGATATCATGTGAGATATGTGTTGCTTTATAATTAAACATGATTTCTTTAATTTTGTTGAGTATAAGAAGATAAGAAGTTGAATGAAGTACTTGAATCTATATGCAATTCTCGTATTTAGAAATATTACTAAGACTTATGTGTTTAATATTTACCTAAATTAGAAGGAGATGCTTAAACAAACAATGGTCATCATTTCTATTAGTATATTCTTAACTTTTAATTTATGAACATCATGTACAACTGAAGGTTATATATATTTAATTGCTCATTTTATTGATTCAAATTAGAAGTTAAATAGCAAAAGTCTTAACTTTTGTCACATGCCTCCTCCCTTTACTATATTCGAATTGTCTCAATATATACTTTTTTTTTTTAAAGGAATGGAAAATAGAGAAGAAAGTTTTCTCCCTTACTTTGGAAAATTCATTTGTTAACAATGTTATGCAAGAAACTTTGAAAAATTAATTTGTTTTGCCAAATTGCTTGTTATGTGATGGACAATTTTTTTCACGTATGTTGTTATGCGCACATTTTAAATCTAATTGTGTAAGAAGGGTTAAAAGTAGCCAATGAAACTCTACATAAATTAGGGAAGGTGTCAAATATGTGAAAGTAGAATGAAAAAAATTTAAAGAAGATGTAGTACAAATTGGTGGTGTTGAGACTTCACTTGATTTTCTTTT